TTACTACTTAAGAAAAGTTTGGCCAGGAAAAACTGTATTGAGTAATTTTCCAAATTAGATCTAACATTCTTTACATGATAAAGAAACTTACAATTTGTACACAGATTCTTGCCTTCCAAAAATCCAGAATACATTTTCTGTGGACATTTGTTTAGATGATTAAAGAAAGAGTTGTTAATATAAAGTAGTGTTCTGATACTAGTATTGGGGAATTATAATGTGTCTAAACTGAGTAAGGTCTTGTATAAAAGTCCTGTTTTAGAATATTGGGGTGTTGTGATCCACTTGTTTGTGTTTGTTCCCAAGAGTGAATAAAATAAATGGCCAGGTTTATATTTGATGTAATCATTTGTATTTCAGTGGGTATCCTCACCCCCAGAAGGCAAAATCAAACTATGTGATCTTGGCATCAGTGACTTTTAAAGCTAACTACATAACACAGTGTTTTAATCTTTAAAGTTGAGGTCATTATTTATATTATTGGTTTCTTTCGAGACTATTATGGTTCTTATCAAAGCTGGGTCACTTTCTATACAGAAAGACAACTAAATTAACATATGCTTGCCAAGAGATGTTAAAATGTAAATTTCCTTATATATAGAAGTTCTTTTTCCATAGTCTTTAAGACCATATGGGTTTCAGAGGTACAGAATCCTTCCCAGAAGTGCTCAGTTATCTTAGATATTTTAGAATTGGGAGGCACAAAGATAAGACGTGAGCCATCAGAGTATTTAAAGTGAGATTTCATTGATTCCTTACAAAAGCTTGAAGTTCAATTTTTGCAACAATCACAATCTTCCAATGATGTTTAAGCTGGATGAGTAGGATATTATTGGTAAAGTTATTGCTTATGATCTAGAGGCAGATTTGGGCCATACCATATTTTAAGATACAAATTTAAAGTGTTTATATAGTTTAAAATTGATACTATGAAAATGTGTATGTAAGTTTTACTTAAAAGATCTCTGAGTCCTGTTGACAGCAGTAAGTTATAATTAATTGATCTAGGATTATAAATATATGTTTAAAGATGATGCATTAGATTACTTAGAATTTGAACATTTATAGAGATAAATGTCCGTGTCCCCTCAAAATCTATCAGATTTGTTTTTAACAACATACATGCAAATGTGTCTTTGCTCTTGGCGCCTCATTGAATATGTACAAGGAGAGCTTTATGTCACAAGGATCATTTAGAAATGACAAATAAATGATATGACCAGGTCCTCCAAGGAAGTAAACCACTTTGGATGGGATTCATAATGGATCTACATCATACTTGATTGCCATAGTGGATCAGGCTATACTGAAGCTTTATGCTTACTTGAATAATAAGGTGCAGTCCTAAAGTAATACTCTTGTGTTTTATACATAAATGTTGATAGTTCATAATTCTCTTCCCATACAGATTTTACCAATATAGGGTCAGAATGTCAAAATGGTAAAAGAAAAGAATATTACCCTTTATTACTGCATTTTTTCTTAATTTGGAAACCCTTTATAGTACAATGGTAACTGTTTTTGTTATGGACAAATTATCAAAAGTAAATGTTGCTAGGATAAGAGACACTCTCTTTTTACATTATTATACTCTTATTTAGTTTTATAATCTAATGAATATGCTTATTAAATTGCTAAGAGAACTCCATTTTTGAGTTGAGGGAAACTACGTTTGTTATAATCTGTGTATTTTCACATGAATGATTATTGGTGGTAGGTGTATTTTTAATGCTGCTTGTTAAATAAGAATTTCTCGATGATAATTTCAGCTAATTGCATCATTCATTCTGTGATTCAATTTTACCTATCTTTCTAAAGTTCATTTAAGTTTGCACTATCTTTTCTACCATTAAAATTTTTAAGAGATTATAATCTTAAATCTTCCCAGAGTTCTTTGGGGTTAATAATCTATTTTTATTTTCTCATGAAGCTTCTAATTTAACATACTGTATTTTCCCCCTTGCCTAATGTCTGAGTTGTTTTTTTTTTTTTAAATGAAACTCTTAACTAGACGTGGCAGTGCACACCTATAATCCCAGAGGCTCGAGAGGCTGAAGCAGGAGGATTGCAAATTCAAAGCCAGCCTCAGCAACTTATCGAGGCCCTAAGCAACTTAGTGAAACTCAGTTTCAAAATAAAAAATAAAATAAGGGCTGATGATGTACATCAGTAGTTAAGCACCCCTGGGTTCAATTCCTGGCATAAAAAATGTTATTCTCAAAAAGAATGACTACTTTCTCATCTTTATTATCTTGACAATAATAGCATGATAAGTAAACAGAAATATACTGAATATATTGAATAATTTACTATGAACTTCACTTGGTAATTAAGCATATACATAAGCTAGATTATATAACTACTTGAGAAACTAGTTGAAATATTTTCTATGATTTACCAGTCAATAAAATATGAAACCAGTTTAGTTAAACAACAGGATTGACTAATTCTTTTTTATCTCTGTAAAAACAAGTTTTTTTTAATTGAACCAGCTTGACATAATCAAATCTTTTATCTATTCAAATACTTTAAAGTCTTTTTTCTCTCTGTATTTGCCAATTTAGCTGATCATATTAACTGATGATGCTAGTAGCAACTCCTTGCTGAAAATAGAAACCTTGAAAAATAGCAATTTGAAGCAAGTTGACATGGTTAATATTGAATTTTCCTAGAAAGGAAAAGGTACAAGTACCATAGGTTGACCATCCTGGTAATAGTCCAGGCAAAATATAATATTTTATTAGTTTTTATCTGATACTTAAGGAATATGTTGAATATACTTGTAACCATTTACTACTACTGTTTTTTTCCCTTATTTCTTGTTTGGGGAGAAGATGATAGGTACTATCCAAGAAAAGTAACACACAGTTCTGTCGATGGTGGAAGAAAAGGAGAGAAATCCTCAAACTAGAAAAAGTGACACTAAAATTGTAGAAAGACAAATAAGTGTGGTAGATTATTTTTAAAAGCTTATATTTTAAAACTTGGTATGAAGTTTACTTGTAGCATTAAGATATTTTAAAGTGAGAGATCTATTGGAGCATTTAAAAAGCATATTGAGTATTAGCTTTTCTGTCAGTGCATCAGTTTTAAATTATTGGAAAACAATATACTGTGTAATAAAATTTTTCTTTACTGCATTTCTATTATGATAAAATTTTCATCAGACTTATTATTTAGTGTCATCTGTATTTAGAGCCAAGTTATACTTACAGAGAGGAAAACATCTATAAACAGTCACATAATAGTGACTAGATTACATAGATGTAACACTGAACATAAACATGTTATCTCTAAACATGTTATTCAAAGATCTATTGCAGAGGCGTGCAACGCAACCTCAAAATAATGCAGTTGTTCCTTTAGGCTTCATGGTGTTCATCAGTATAAGTGGCTCCTCTGATTACTTATATAATCTTAAGATTTCCTGTTGCCAAGAGTTTTGCTTCTAAAGGACAGGCATAGCTGAACTGGACACTGTTTTCAGAAATCAGTATTGTTTACCATAGTAGTCTTTACTGTACACCTTCATAATATCTTAAAATTCTTCAATTAGTATGTAAAGCTTCTAACTTTAATATCATATGAGATAGATTTGTAAAGCCCCAAAATACATTATCATTCCTTTTTCCCTTCTCTCTCTTTTTCTTTAATTTCTATTTCACATAGATTAAAACTTAACCATCATTTTGGCAGGATGCTTGATTGCAAGCTTTTAAGATGAGCTGTGTAACAAGGAACATCAAAAATCATGAAATGAGTCTTAAACTATGTAGTCTATCCCAGTGACCTGCATTGTACTTTCCACTGTATTTATCCTTGGCTTTTTGAACAAATTTTGTTTATCTGTACAAAAGTATTGTTACAATATAAAATAGTTGTACTATGCCATTATATGAATGTCCAAAAATGCATGTTAAATAATAGAACTGTGGGTCTATCTAGATACACTAAAGTGTTTTCATACTGGCTAAAATGGCAACATCTTGTCATGAGGAGATGCAGTTCATTTTGTGATCGTTACTTTGGTATTTGCGATTGCACAAAAATTCTTATTTTTAATGTTAATTGTATGTGTAGTTAATCAGTAAGATCTGTAAGAGAAACATAAAAAATTGTGAATTTTTATCTCACTTTAGGATAATTTCTTGAACCACAAGATTATTTACAAATGCTGTGAAGTTTGGAATTGGGATGCTTTTAATGCATCCTGATGTATGGCTTACTTCAATATATACAGTCTCTTAACATAAAAGGAAACAACCTCCTATTCATTGTGTACATACAAACATGAAATTGAGATCTATCAATATGCAACTGAAGATTATTTAAAATGAGATAAATGTGTGTGCCTATGAAAGGTGAAATGATTGTGTTACATTAATAACCATACTTTTGAAGATGTACCATAAAATGAGTTTAAGGAGACAGCTAGCTATGTTTATATTGACAGAAAAAGGTACATTTTCCTAGAAAATGCTGTCTCATATTGGTCTTTCGTAATCCACTTTTGTTGCCTTCTCTGAGAATCTATGACATTCTACAAACCTAAGAGTGGGGCTTGTTTTTTTGGTGAGATCTGAAATAGCTCTCTTGTATATCAGTCAAGATGTAAGCAAGTTAATTCTTCTATGAATTACTCTTTGTTATCTTTCTTTCAAAAGTGGGATTCTGACAAAGTTAATTTAAATAAGGTTCTGACTATGAGATAAATCTTCCCATTATAAAACAGTACATGGTGATTTTTTACCTCATAATTAGCTTTTAGGTGGTTAGATCACAGGAAAAGGTGAGTTGGGAACTAAGAAGTAACCTCTAATATATATCATTTATTTTTGGAGACTCAAAGGAATATCCATGTACTAAATAACATCCTTCTTGATTTCAGCCAAGTTCAAAAACTTTGCAGAAATAGATCATTTTAAAATGATAACTATGTGTCGTTGTTGTTGTTTTGTGTTGTTTGTGTGTGTATGTATTTTCTTTTTCATTTTAACCAGCCTCTTATACCTAGAAGTCCCACAAGCAGTGTTGCCACGCCTTCCAGCACCATCAGTACCCCCACCAAGAGAGACAGTTCTGCCCTCCAGGATCTCTACATTCCCCCTCCACCTGCAGAACCATATATTCCCAGGTATAAAACTATCATGTTGTTCTAGGCAACTTCTACTTAAAGATTAAACTAATAGCATATAAACTACAAAGTCAATTCTTGAGGAACGCTGTGAATACTTTTTCAGGAATTCTGAATACATTTTGAAAATCATTCCCATTATAGTGAACAAACTTTGGTTGGTTAATAATAGCAGTAACTAATTTGTATTAAATATTTAGTATGCATTAAATATCTTATCCTCCTTATCTCTTAGAAGAAAGAAGAGGAAGGTAATATTAAGTAACAATTATTTTAATAAGTACAAAGTAAGTGAAGCATTCTGGCTAAGAAGCTGAGAATATCTCAGTCTAGTTTGAAGCATTTCAATTTTTTCAAAAAAGAGCATTTATAGAGAACATTTATGCTTTCTTAAATATATAGAGGGATTACTTTTTTAATGATGAGGAAGAGGAGAAGAGGGAGAGTGTTTTCCCCCCAATGCCTTAGTATCTAGAGGTTTTACTTTATTAGTTCATTAATATTTTCTTCAGGCAATAGTGTTTACAAGAAAACGAATTGCCTTTAAATTCTATTTTCTAGATTTCTTGGGGCTGAATCTCCATTTCATTTCTAGACTTTATAAGAAATTCCTGGCAGGGGTGAAAGATTACAGCTTTGTGCCATAATGCATTCTATCCAAAAGCATTCTGATATCTAGCTTGTGAATACAAAAATTATGGAAAGGGCCATCAGTATTGGGAATAATAAACACCAATCAGAAAGAATTTAATTCAATTCTTAAATTAATTCTGCACTCACTCAAAAATAATAATTTAAGTTCTGTTATTACTAAGCAGTACTTAATATTAAATTTCTTCTGTATAGAAAATAATTGAACTCCTCATGTTTAATTTTCACTATTTTTTATTATTAGTTGTTCAAAACATTACAAAGCTCTTGATATATCATATTTCATACATGTGATTCAAGAGGATTATGAACTCCCATTTTTACCCTGTATACAGATTGCAGAATTCACATCGGTTACACATCCACGTTTTTACATACTGCCATACTAGTGTATGTTGTATTAGTATACCTAGTGTTTCAGAGATATTTATTCTATTAAATACAATAATACTGATGTTATATAATCTAAATGCTATATGGCAATATGACATATCCACAAATACTATGTTGTCATCTAGTAATAAAACTATAACCAGTATGTATATACACATAAATTCTTATTTTTGAGAATTAAATGGAGTTGTGGCAAAATAAATTATAGAAAAAAATAATTGACATTTCATAAGTCTTTCCATTGTGTAATTTGCAATCTTATGTTCAATTTACAATCAGATGTACAGATCTATCCAATATGAGTAAAAATATAAGTTACATTTTAATTCTGTTAAAACAGTGTCAGATTTTCTGAATACTCTTGCATGAGAAGCACTGAAAAAAATAGGAAGCTACTTTTTATGGTTGTCATTTTCATTGAAAATATTTATATTTCAGTGCAAATGATTATGTAACAAGCCTTATCCTTCAGAGGACTATATTTAAAGATAAATATTTTAAAAATGTTTCTTAACAAATCTCCACAATTTTTAAATGTTCTTTCCTATTCACTTGGGTTAGGGATGAATTTGTTAAAAGGAAATGATCTCCAAGACAGATAGGATTTAAGATACACTTTAGATAAACAAAACAGTAAAATGAACCAGTCCTGTCCTCGTGAGTATGGTGAAGATATTTTAAGTCAATAAAAAGCTTGAACGCACTATTTAAAAATATTAGAAAAGTTGAAATGTCAACATATTGGTCATTGTTTTATCAGGATAAACTGAAAGCTCCATACTTTTCAGTAAAATTCATAAAAGTAGTATATATTATCTCAATTGATTTTTATTTGTTCAGTATATAATTTAGCAGAATATTCTAAAGACATTTTGAGTCATATTAGTATTTACCCAGTCAGTCTTTTGATACTGCAATCAGAACAGCCCATGCGTCAAAGCCCCTTTGAACCACAACGTTATGTAAATCATCTGCATGTTTTGGTCTGATTTGAAGTTATAGTCATAAAACCTTTTGCAGTTTTCATTTGGATTTTAAATAATAAAAGGGTTCTCATCTTAATAAAAAGCAACTTAAAATGGTCATTAAGTTTAGATTTTTTATGTGATTAAATTTTTCAAACGTATTTATTCTAGTAAAAAACAAAAAGTAAAAAAGTGACTATAAACATGCCTTTTCCTCTAAAACTGAAAACACTCATGTATGTAAAGTATGTGAAATTTGCTTGGAATTTTATTATGCCTTGTGACTATATGCTAAATTATTGTAATTTATTGTGCATTTTATATTTAACCAAATTAACTCTACTATGTGTCCACTAAAGCAATGTTATCTTCATCCTTTCTTAAATCCTTTCTAGGTCAAAATGTAGATTTATTACATATTTTATAAAGGTATAACTTTAAGAACAGTTAAAATGTTTATAGTACAATGAATTAATACATTGAGTTCTTCAGGGATTCATAACATGAGTACATACCATACACACACTTATATACACAACTCACACATATACATGCACACATACTCTTAAACATATCAATTCATTCCACTGGAAAGTTGGGCTTCTTTTTTACTTTTCTTAACTTAGCATTGTTTTAGTGCCATATAGACATGTCTAACACATCTGCCTTGTTGATCTAAGACACTTCTTCATATCATTATATAGTAGAAAATATCAGCCCTTCAAATTTTCTGCCACTGGCTGTGTTCATATACATATAGCAAGGTGAATTAATGGATTTGAATCACCCTTGATCTCAGCTACATTAGTATTCGTGTCACAGGCCTGATAGAAAAGTCTGCCCATTTATAGGTAGGCATAACCTTAGTCCAGTGCCATGAATTCATTAGAGCTGTTTCCAGGCTAATCATAGTGTCGATTTCTTTTTGATAGAGGATTAACAGTAACAAAAAGTGCCAGGCAGTTTGTTCAGGAAAGCTTTCAGCTAATTGAAAATGAAATTCTGAATGAATTTTTATATTTATTTTCTTCTCATTGCCTAAAAACTATATAGGCATATTTTGGTTATAAGCAATCATTTTAGAAAATAAAAGAGTAAATGTCAATATAAATAAAAACCTCACCTTGTGATGGGTTAAATTATAAAACATCTTACTGATTCAGTTTAGTCTGTCTTAAGAATATTGTTTATTACTTTTTCCATATTTAAAGTACTGGGAATATAGTTCCCTATATTTTAGACATCTAAACATTTTCGCACTGATGCAAAAAAATATATATTTTTGCTCTGAGACACATATTTTGGAAATAACATTACTTTTATAAACTCATCACCATTGTATAAATTATAATGGGCCTTAGATAAATATATGTGTGTGTGTGTGTGTGTGTGTGTGTGTATATATATATATATATATATATATATATATATATATACACACACACACACACATACATACATACATACACATACATACATATTTATATATTTATATTTCAGTTTTTCTACATCTTTAAGATTTTTAGTCCTAGAGCTTAACATAAAATTAATTCTTTTTCTGGTTAACACTGATTTGTGATCCATAAGTGAAGAAATACTGCATTTACATTCCTAGTTATACTTTAGAAGACAAGCTTTTTTAAAACGAATGCACAAGTAATCAGTGAAAAATTTCATAACATAAACAAGGTTCAGCTCAACCAATCCTAAGCAGAATATTTCTATCAAAACGCCATTCATCATGATCCTAATCATCAAGTACTGTGTAAGTAATAGGTTTTGGAAACCCCATATATCCCATTCTTAAAGTCCATGTTTTATAACATCTCTCCACAAGAAGCATTACTGATGTGTTAAGATACATATTTTTTCTCAAGTCTCCTAAGAGTCTTTTAAATTAATGACATGCTGTTTGAAGTCACTACAATACCAATTTATATAGGGCTAATTTGGTTTCTGTCACCATGATATTCCTTATGTAAGTGATAAATCCTATATACATCTTTGTTTTTAAGTAGCACACATTTTACCAAAAAATCAGTTAGGTAATCTGGCAGAAAAAAAAGGCATTTGGTTAAAATAACATTGTTAGTAGTATACATAGTGACTTGAATACTAGAGCAATTTATATGCTAAAATTATTTCCTATGAATGACATTTTACAGTGAAAAATGAACTCAAGCAATAGTTAAAAGATCCATGGCCCATTTCTAGCTACGTCATTTATTAGCTGTGTAACATTGAGACAAGTCATTTAACTTGAGTCTCAGAATTTTTTTCTTGCAAAATAGGAATAATTAAAAGTTGTCCTATAATTTTCTTTTTCTTTCTTTCTTTGAATAAAGAATGAAACCCAGAGAGTCTTAACCATTGAGCCACATCCCCAGCCTATTTATTTATTTATTTAGAGACAGGGTTTCTCTAAGTTGCTTGGGCCCACTAAATTTCTGAAGCTGGCTTTGAACTTGTAATCCTCCTGCCTCGGCCTCCTTTAATTTTCAAAGAAAACTTGGAAAGATCAGTGACTACGGATATAGTTCAGTAGGTAGAGTGTTTGCCTTGCGTGCACAAGGCCCTGGGTTGGATTCCCATCACCATACACATTAAAAAAAAAAAAAAAGACAGGAGATATATTGTATGGGAAGTTTATTATTAGCATTTTAAAAACTGCCCATTTTACCCCCCTAACACTTTTCTACATCCTTTTCCTTTACTCTAACAATTTTCTTTAGGGATGAAAAAGGAAACCTTCCTTGTGAAGATCTCAGAGGACATATGGTGGGCAAGCCAGTGCATAAAGGATCTGAATCACCAAATTCATTTCTGGATCAGGAATACCGAAAGAGGTTTAACATTGTTGAAGAAGATACTGTCTTGTATTGCTATGAATATGAAAAAGGAAGATCAAGTAGTCAAGGAAGACGAGAAAGCACTCCAACTTATGGTGAGAGTTCTTATTTTTACATGACACTATGTCTAACATGGGAATCACAATTTCCTCTCATAAGTTTTGGGGCTGTGAAAATTACTTGATTGCTTTTGAATCTTTATTATTAATCTGTATCTATCATGTGCTTCTAAGTGAAATATCAACAATATGACATGACATTAAAAATTACTCTAGATTTTCCAACAATAAGAGAGAACAGCAAGTTACATTTTAGCTCATAATGGTTAATGAAAATCTTTGTAGCATCACAAGTACTTTTTTTGTTATATGTTGCCAAATTTAAATAATTCAAGGGCTTTATCATTTTTAATGAACACTTACTTCAAACATGACTTCTTTGAAATAAAATTGTCTTCTTAATTCTCATGGATTAAAAACATCTTTAGATAAGCTTTTCTGGGGGAAATCTCATCTCAGTTTTTGTATTTTTAAGAAGCTATAAAATTAATCTGACATTCAAGTTGAAGTAGATTTTAAATAGAATAGACATACTGTATTTAAGGCAAGATGGGCCCAAAGTTACCATGTACCTGGAATTGTTTTTTTTTTATCTCTGACTCTTGCTTTTCCATGCATGTCCAAGAATGTAATCAGGTCACAAATATGTAAAATTGATACCACGTGTCTGCAATATTTTTTGATAAAGTTGCCTAATGTAATAAATCCTATGGTCCTAATGCAAGAATGAATGGATTTAATTGGAAGACTGTGTTCCTTCCTTTCCAGTTTTTAAATTAATCATTTTCATTGAGGAGTTTATGCTTTGGGGAAGGACAGGATTCTTGCTCATTAGTCTAAACTTGATCACTAAGAGCTATAAAGAATGTAAGTTGTTTTAAACACTCTCTTTTTACCTACCCTCCTCAATTGTTTGCTACAGCCATGTACCTTCCTCCTTTGGTCACAAAAATAGCAGTATTTTTTTCTTATGCATGTCTTATTTCTTTGTGGTTCTCTGGTAATAATTATGTATGAAAAGTTTTGACCAAAGTAATCTTAAAGAATAGGAATCATACTTAATTTTCTTTGTGATTCTTTGTACATGTGCTTTTTATACAAATAAGTGATGATATTTTTAGCATAACTCCTCAGTTACATAACTTTGGTGACAGTTATTTTGAATTGTTGTATATTAAAGGTATTTGCACCTTTTTCTCTCCTATTATATTGTAAACCTACAGTAGAGAGGCCTGCCATCTTTCTTATCACTTTCTGCATCCCATGACATAATGTATATTTTTATTCATTCCACAAGTACATGTTGACCACCTGTTATTAGATAGTAAAGTATATCAACTCTTCTCTTTTTATATCCCAGAACTTTCTGGATATTTTTACTTATATGGAAGTAAATGAACATTGCATTTAAGGGGAAATTCTAGTCACCAAATGAAGTAATTGATTCATTACTCATGACCTTATAAAATATATTTACTAGGTTCTTATAGAATAACTATAATTGTCATATTAAACAGCAGTTTAAAGTACTAGTACAGTTATTTTCTATAAATCATATTCTCAATAAAATAGAATACTGTTTTAACTTTAGAAATTTAGATAGCCTATAGATATTTGATTTTAAAAAGAAATATGTATATGCTTAAAAGAGGGATAAAGAGGTAAACAAAGTTCTCTTTTTAACTTTTGAACCTGAAACAAATATAATCTTACTATATAATAGTTTTATTTAATCTGAACCTTCAAGGTAGACACTTGTAGATACTTCAGTGAAGATGTGCAGGCACAACTTGAAAGATTTTTCAGTCAACAATTAAATTTATTTAATTTTCCAAAATCAGAGGCTAGATAATAAATCTACTATTCAGTTACAGTATTGTGGCCATAATTTTCCCAAAGATTACATTTGTCAACTTGTTCAGCTAGTATTTTATATACATAAAGTTGGTCATAACTAGGGACACAGGTGAGTAAAACATAAATTCTACATGGAAGATAGGCATAACCCAAGAGGAGAAACATATCTACATTGCAATCACTTTAAGTATATACACATAATGCTACATAGCCCAGGAATTGAAACACCATAGTCTACCTGGGAAATCACATAAGCAAGCATGACATTTATGCTGGATTATGAATGATGAATAGTCATTACCCAGCATTTCTAAATGCTAGTCATCTCCACCAAATACCTGGTACCTCTTCAAAACCTAGGTCTGAGACCAAGGTTTTGCATAAATCTCTCAGCCTAGACCCTAAAAGCCCTAATACAAATTACTTCCAGCCTTCATAATCAATAATAACTTCTTTATTTAACTTATAAAGTAGTATCATGATGTGGACCACCAAGTATGACAATATTCTCTTGTATTTGAAAATTATGATGATGAAAATTTACAATCTTCCTTAAATGTATTGCAAAAAAACCTAAAGTTCATATTTGGTATTTTCTAGATTTGATATTAATGTAACTTCTTTTTACTTGTGTGATACCTTAAAATGCAGTATATAAGTTTTTTATCCTTATAACTGTCAATTTAGTTCTTAGTTACAAATGCCCTTATCTTGAAGTATTTGAATTTATCCACCATTATTCTCCTGTTAACTTCACAAATTACCTGTCTATTCAGAGAAAGTTTAAAGTTAAGATTATGAGCCTAGGTAAAATTTTGAGAAGCAAAAGAGGACCATGACGCAGTTACCAGTACAAGAATATGTACTTTGGGTTGTATATGTATTAATATATTCATATTTTAAAATTGTATATGTGTGTGTTTTAGTCAGCTTTTTTGTTACTGTTACTGAAAAACATTATAAGAAAAAGTTTAGAGGAATAAAAGTTTTTTGGGGGGAACATGGTTTCAGAGGTCTCAGTTCATAGACAACCTACACCATTCCTCAGGGCTCAAGATGAGGCAGGACATCATGGTGGGAGAGTATGGTAAAGGGAAGCAGCTCAGGACATGATCAAGAAGCAGAGAGAGACTCCACTCTCTAGATACAAAATATATGCCCCAAAGGCACACCCCCAATGCCCACCTCCCCCAGCCACACCCTATCTGCTTTCAGGTTACCACTCACTTGACACCCATTAGGAGAATAATTCACTGATTGGGTTAAAGCTCTCATAACCCAATCAATTCACCTCTGAATATCCTTGCATTGTCTAACACATGAGCTTTTTGGGGACATCTCATAAACCATAACAGTGTGTGTGTGTGTGTGTGTATGTATGTAGTTATATATAGTGTATGTATAAAGTTGTATGTATATATATATATATGTTCTATATACATATATATTTTATATTTGTTATATTTACATATACTTTATATAATAAATGTATATTAGGACTGGGGCTGGGATGCAGCGGTAGTGCACTTGCCTGGCATGTGTGAGATACTGGGTTCGATTCTCAGCACCATATATAAACACATAAATAAAATAAAGGTCTATCAACAATTAAATTTTTTTAAATAATAAATGTATATAATATGTATTTATATACATTGTTTTTAAAAGAGAGAGAGAGAACTTTAATATTTATTCTTTAGTTTTCAGCAGACACAACATCTTTGTATGTGGTGCTGAGGATCGAACCTGGGTTGCACGCATGCCAGGCGAGCGCGCTACCGCTTGAGCCACATCCCCAGCCCTATATATATTTATATGTATTAAAAATCAAGGAAACTCTGTTATTAAACACAATGACAAAGAAGCACAGATGTAAAGACAAATATTTGTGGATTTTAAAAAATGTTGTTTAAACAGGTTCTCATTTTATACTATGAACCCTTTGGTTGTTAAGAGTGCATTTAAAGTACACGTATTCACCATAAACAATTAGAAAAGTGCAATATGGACAGATAGTAAATGACCCTTTTAGAAAATAAATAAATAACATCTGTTAAGCTTTTATGTACATCCAGCACTGTTCTAAACATTTGAAAGGTCATTAGCCCATTTAATCCTCACAGCAACCCTATGAGGTGTATACTAATAAAATTCTTGTTTTACAAATGAGAAATCTGAAGTACAGAGAGGTTAAATAATCTACCCATCTAGTAATGATAGAGCTGCAGTTAAGTATCCATGGGTGATTGTTGAGCTTATTAGTGACAATAGCTAGCTAAATGTGGTTAAAAAAATAATTTTTCAAATTCTTAAAAACAATAATTACCAAAAATTTCATGACTCCTTCCAAATTCAAAAATTATATTTCAGGCAAGAAGACCTAGGTCTGGTTTTGTCTGTTGTTGTATATGGGGTTGGTTGTGTTGTTGCTGCTGCTGTTGTTTTTGTATTTACTGGTACTGTAATGAGCATGCATTTACTTAGATATAGCCCTGATGATATTTGGAGAAGGGTGATAATTTGAGGGGTAAAATATACACTTTTGAAGTCAGATAGCATAAAATTTATCTTACTTTCCTAATATTATAGACAAGAATAATTTTTGGACATACAGATGCTAGTAGGGAAACAACATTGAATAGTGGTTACTATCATGACTATACTATCAGCCATGCTTGGTAATTCTGTCATCTACTACTCCAGAGTGACCCTAAGACTATTACTTTAGACCTCAGTTTTATCATTTGTGATAATATCTTCCTCATAGAGTTTTATGAGAATTCAATAAAATGAATTATAAACTGCCTTAGTGCCCAGTACATTAGGTGTTTACTTTATTGTCATTATTACAGAAACTTTAATATGAAAATAGAAAGGGTAAAATAGTATTAAATCCCTTTAATTGGTCACATCTACTCAGGCTTCAAAGGTAAATGTTCAATTTGATATCAGTTACTTATCAATTTCTTAGAATGGAAATATTTCCCATCAACTTTCCTTTTTCCTGTCCATGGACTTCTTGTCCTTGGTATTCCATGATAGCACATTTCTAGGCATAGAAACATACTAAAATATAGACACACCTGGTGAAGTTCCTTGTGGACATAAGTAGTCAATTTAAAAAAAAAATGGGCTGGGGTTGTAGCTCAGTGGCAGAGCAATTGCCTTGCACATGTGAG